AAGTCCGCAGTACTGTTCACTTTAATGAAAAACCATATTTTTACACTAAAAAATCAATCCTGATACTATTCATTTTACCCTTTATTTTGTCCTTATTGTTAAAACTTAAAGTTTTTAAATCTTTTTCATTAGTTTTTCTAATTAAAAGTGTGTAATTGACTTACAACAACTGTTTTAGTGACTCTTCAATGGGGTGTGTGTGTGTATTTTTTTCTTTGGCTATGTCTAAAAAGAATAAGCGCGTGAAGGGAGACCCCATCCTATGTACCTCTTTTATGACCATTTACCATTAAATTTGATTATTACACATTTACTAAGTTGAATATTAGCTGAATGTGTCCTCCACTGGCACTAGGAAACTTCCTCGGAGGAGCATTCTTAATTTCACCTTTCTTTGTTTATGTCTTCCACTAGGGATACATTATAAACTTTTCTTCTGAAAGTGGCGCAATTTCGTCTTTATATTTTTCTATGTTTTTCTTGTGTGTAAACTTTGATGATTTTCTTGGAACGTGCATATACTTTTATTGAAAGGTGCCTTATAGTAAATGTCTTTGGACAAATTTTTCTTTTAATGCATATTTAAAATGAAACTTTAACGAAAAATTCTTGATACTGTTCACTTTAACGAAAAACTATATTTTTACACTAAAAATTCAATTTTGGTATTATTCACTTTACTCTTTATTTTGTCCTTATCGTTAAAACTCAAAGTTTTCATATCATTTTCATTAGTTTTTCTTATCTAAAAGAAGGGTAATGTTATGGAGATTGAATTTGAAAATAAAATTTGAAAACTAAATGATGTGTCACCAATAAAAATGAACACATTTATCAATTCTTAAATAATAAATCAACCATCAACTTCTATATCATTTAGTTTTCAAAATTTTATTTACAAATTTATCTCTTAGCATTACCTTTAGAAGAAAATTTTAAAGTAGTAGCATTATCAATTATCGATTATTTTTTTAAGTACGTGAAAGTGACTAATCCTTATCACTCCAAATTTTTGAGAAAATTTTCATTGTGCTGGAAATACTGGTAATACACAACGTGTCATTATATAAGTATAGGGAAACTTTATTTTTTTAAGGTTTAGCGTTTAGGGTAAGTTATGAGCCCTCTGTGATAATATTCCAAATCTTAGATAATATTCTAACAGTGGAAGACCATATTCTGAGCCCTCTATGATTTTTTTCAGTGTACAATTGAGTTGTTTTTATTTTTTAAGAACTATAAAAAGGTTAACTGCCTAGAAATTTCTTAAAAGAAATTATCATTAATTGAAAATGTTAAAAATCCTACGTAAAAGAAATTTGTCACTAATAAAAAATGTTAAAAAGTTGTACGTAAAACGTGTAAATATATCAATTGAATGAGAAAGTGCTTGCTTTTTCTTTTTGTTTTTGTATAATTACAAGCAATGATGACCACTAAGTGCGTCACCTAAATGCTACGGCAACGTGTGGTGTGCTGGTCAGTCCTTGTCAGGATTAAATTGCTTTGGATGCCCCGGTGGTTAAAGATGAAATAAGTGGATGGAGCAACAAAGTTAAATTTGTAGATAAAAATGCGCGTCAGGCCGGAAGGTGGGCCTACTGGCTACTGTGTGCTTGCCACTAGCCACTACAATAAAGCCTGTGTGCTTGCTACAACCATAAAGTCCCGTAGTAGCATTATCAATGATCAAATATTCTTTAAAGTAACTTTGTCCCCGTACCTAATAAGGACTGCGAATTTAATGTTTCTATGTATTTACACGTTTTCTGACATAGAGAGATGGAGTTGATTGTATTCTAGTTTTCAACATTATTGTCATCGCCGTCGGAACTTGTTTTACATCGACTGCAGACCATTAACATTTATTCTTCGTCTTCTGCGGTCGATTCTGATGTAGCTGATTTTTAATTGGTTGGTTTCGATGGCAAGCTGATAAACTCTTTTTAATAATTATACATACATTTATAAATACGATTCATCAACATTGGCATAAAAGTTATTCTCGTATAGATAACATGATTAGTCATTTCCACACAAGTTTTTCTTACTTACTTTCCAACTAAGTTCTAGGCCTTCTCATGACCTCTCGATAGCCTCGAAATATAAATTTCAAATCTTAGGCAATCTCTAATAGTGACGGATTATATTCTTAGCCCTCAGTGATTTTGTAGTGTAAAATTGACTTGTTTTTATTATTTTAGGAATTATAAAATGGTAATCAATCGATAGTGCTTAGAAATTTCTTTGAAATAAATTGGTCGCTAATTGTGAATGTACAAAGCTTTGTACGTAAAATGTGCAAAATACAAAAATTGAATGAGAAAGAGTGAGCTTTTTTTTTTTAATTAAATTAAATTTATTTATTTAAACTACAAGCAATATTCTATATTAGTCTATATTAAGAGACGGCGAAGGGTTTGAATTGACACACAATGGTTAAAGAGAAATGCCCCCAACCATAAAGGCAATCCACCCCTTTACGCAATGGTTGAACGAGTACATAATCTGAGTGCTACAGTGACCCACTAGGTGTAGGTTAGTTGTCTCTGTCAAGATTAAGTTTTATTGATGGTCTACTGATCAAAAGCTGAAACTAGTGGATGAAAAATAAGAAGAGTAATGCTAGAAAGACTAAATTTGTATATTAAATTTACAAATTAAATGACGTGTCATCAATAAAAAAAAATGCGTTAATCAACGCTTAAGTAATAATCAAATCATCACCTTTCATGTTATTTAATTTATAAAGTTTAGTCTATAAATTTAGTCTTCCTAACATTATAAAAAAATAAGTAAAAAAAAAAAATATGCAGAGATGACATGACTTGTGAGTTGTGACTTGTAAGCTTTAATGAAAGTAATGAACCGGTGAGGATGTGCCTTTTTTTTGTCTTTCTTCTTATGGTGAAATCAAACTAAATTGGTTGAGGCTTTATAATTCAATGAATTGATTTGTCACTGGTGTTCGGAAAGTTAGAGTTCAAATCTTGTTCAATCTCAATTGGTGAATAACTATATTCTTAGCCCTCAGTAATTTTGTAGTGTGAAAATTATAAAAATGTCCTCAATCAAAGTTGCTTGGAAATTTCTTCAAACTGATCACTAAACTGGAAAACTTTACAACCATGCACGCAAAGAGCGTAAAGGGAGGGCACCATCTCATGCGGCCCTTTTATACTTTTACGACCGTTCATCTCTCACTCATCGATATTCATGAAGGAGCCTTTGGAACTTTAGTCAAAAGTCAAGTCGATAGCTTTGAAAGTAGGGGTGGTAAATTAATTCATTAAATTATTAATGAATAACTATCAAGACTCGTTTAGTTTGATTTTTAACATAACATAGTGGTAAGATTGATAGTTTTAATGATTGTGTAAGTCAAACCAAATGAGTTTGAGACTCCAATGACTTGATTTGTCATATGTGCTGAGAAAGATAGATACCAAATCTTATTCAATCTCCTTCCATGAACACATATATACTTTTTTTTTTGAAAAATAAAGACAACTGGAGCAACTTGCAACTATCCATCTCTTCTGAGACCAACTCCAATGGTGGGCTAAAAATCAAATTACCTCCCAAAATTTCCCCCCAAACCCACTCCAACCTAAGGGATAATTTTGGGTTATGCTAAATGCTAAACCAATGCCAAATTCCCCCCAAAATTTAGCCTAGAAATCGGAGTGGACTCTACCCAATATTTATCGGAATTTAAATTTTTTTAGATTAAAATGTTTATAAAATTAATTTACGATGGTCTACATATTTATTTAAAAAAAAAAATCAATTTAACAAAAAAAATAGCCTAAATTCATTCTTTAATAATTCCGGGCTAAAATTTTAGGCTAAAATTGGAGCAGAAAAACTATTTATGTACTAAAAGCTAAATTTTTCGGGTTAAAAAATTTGGCTTTTAGCCCAATAGATGATTTGAGGGATGAAAAGGCTATAGGGAGCTTTACCCTAAAATTCACTTTTTTGTAAAATAAAAAATTAACAAAATGTCGCAATCAAAGGAGCTTGGAAATTTTTCTTCGAAGAAATTGGTGACTAATTAACTGGGAAAATTCAAAACCATGCGTACACAAACCGCGTAAGGAGAGGCCCCATCCCATGTGCCCGTTTTTATGCTTTTGCAACTGTTCATCTCTTACTAATCGCTTTTCCGGAAGAGCATTTGGAACTTCGTGCATTTACTCAAATGCAATTCAAGTAAAATTCGGAACTAGTCTTCCCTTCTCTCTCGTTTCAATAGATCCTCCTCAATTCTTAACTACTCTCTCTCTCTTGCTTTGCTTTATTGGATCCTCCTAAATTTTGAACCAGTCCCTCTTTCTACTCTATTCACAATTAATCTCTCTGCACAACTACTTCTGGATCTGAAAACTAGAGGTTATTGATATGGTTTCTTCTTCTTCTTCTTCTTCTTCATCCGCTGCTGATACAAAAAAGTAATTGTTTTGGATATTATTTTGAAGGTGGAGAAAATAAACAAGCCCTTGCCAAATTGGTAACTCGTCAGAGGTTGGTCGGTGTTTATTGATACTGTTTGAGGCTCTTACTGTATTTTTTTGTCATTTATTTTTAATTAATAAGTTTTGGTGTTATGTTGTGCTGGCATTTAAATTGCTAATTAATTTTTGTTATGTCTGCTGTTAATTTCTTTGCCAGTGACCTGTCACCGGATGTCACTTTGTTTTGTTTGCATCTTGATCAATTGTCTTCCTTTCGACGTTTGGATTAATCGGTTCTCTTAACAGAGGTTCTGAAAAGCTTCATTACAAAAGATTGAAAGAGAAAGCGCCAATGGAAATAGAAAACAAGGAAGAGAATATGTGCCTATTTCGTTCATCTCTCACTCATTGAAACTTTGTGCATGTAGTCAAAAGCCAATTCTAAGTAAATTCTCCTTAATTGTGCAACGTAATAATATTATTTCTCTTTAATTAACAATAATCTCTCTGCAACTACATCTTTTTGCTGGATCTGAAAACTAGATGTTGTGGATATCGCTTCTTCTTCTTCATCCACTGCTGATGCTGATGATACCAAAAAGTACGATGTGTTTATTAGTTTCAGAGGTGAGGACACCCGCCGTACTTTCACCAGCCACCTCCACGCTGCCTTACTTGATAAAAAAATCACAACTTATATTGATGACAAGCTTAAGAGAGGAGATGAAATCGCACCTGCCCTTCTCCAAGCAATCAAGGAATCAGAGCTTTCGGTGATCATTTTCTCGAAAGACTACGCTTCTTCCACGTGGTGTTTGGATGAGCTTGTGCATATCCTAGCATGCAAGGAAAAACATGGCCAGTTGGTTATACCCATTTTTTACGACACCCTTCCATCGGATGTACGAAAACAACGGGGGAGTTATGAGGTTGCATTTGCTCAACTTGAGCAACGTTTCCAGAACAGTATCGACAAGGTGCACAAGTGGAGGGATGCTTTGACGAAGGCAGCAGATATATCTGGGTTTGATTCAAAAAATTATGGGTAACTAACTAATTCCTTTAACTAGTATAAAATTATAAATTTTATTTAAACTTGTGATGATTTTATTGTGCTAAGATTTTGTAAGGTATGAACATTTAAGACTAACTATTACTTTCCTACGTATATATGCCAGGACGGATGCTGATTTAGTTAAGAAAGTTGTTGAAGATATTTGGACCAAATTGTATCGCGCATCATCCTGCAATTTAAAGGGCTTTGTTGGAATTGAAAGCCGCATCGAGCAGGTCGATTCGCTATTAGGCATTCATTCATCGGATGCTTGCATCACTGTCGGTATTTGGGGCATGGGTGGTATCGGCAAGACCACCCTTGCTGAAACTATATTTCACAAACTCTCTTCTAAATTCGAAGCTTCTTGTTTTGTTAAGAATGTTAGGGAGAACTCAGAAAAAGCAGGTGGACTAGATCACTTGGAAACAACACTTCTTAAGGAGATATTAAAGGAAGAAGGTCTATCCATACGACCAACTATTGTTCAAAAAAGGCTCAGATGCACAAAGGTCCTCATTGTTCTTGATGATGTGAGTAGTTCAATGCAAATTGAACGTTTAGCTGGAGATCCTCCTTGGTATGGCACTGGAAGTATAATCATTATCACAACTAGAGATAGGGGCACACTTGGGAAAACTGTTAAAGAGGATAATATCTATGAGGTTGAGGTACTAAAACCGGATGACGCTCTTCAGCTCTTCTGTTCGTGTGCTTTCAAGAATAACAGTACGCGTATAATAGATTGTAAGGAGTTGGCAGAAAAGGCGGTGGCTTATGCCAAAGGCCTTCCTTTAGCTCTTGCAGTTCTGGGGTCCTTGTTCTTCAATTGCAAGAGCAAAGAAGAATGGGAAGATGTGTTCAACAAATTGAAACGATTTCCCAGTGAAGATATTCAGAAAGTGTTGAGAATAAGTTATGATAGATTGGGAGAAAATGAGAAGGAGATATTTCTGGATATAGCATGTTTTCATACAGGGGAGTCTCTGGTTGAGGTAAAACAGATGTTAGATGCTCGTGGATTCTTTGCGACAGATGGAATTAGAATTCTCAAAGATATGTCTCTCATATCAATTGATTCAGAACTGGAAACCATAGCGAGATACTTTGACATGGGCCATTTTGTACAAGAAAGAAGGGAAACCATAGAGATGCACGATTTGCTACAAGAAATGGGTCGGAAAATTGTTCAAGAACAAGGTATTAAAGATCCCGGTAAACGGAGTAGATTGTTCAATGATGAGGATTTCTATCGCGTATTGAGCAGTAACATGGTAAGAGCCAAATGCATTCAATTTTTTTTCTTTTTTTTTTAGAAAATAAAAATTACAAACTTGAGATGATAACACAACAAAGTAAAACTAATTTATAATAAAGAAGTGAGATTGTTAAAAGATGAATTTGATTGAATATTTATTGTGTTAGGAAGTGTTTGGAATATGAACAAATGTTTGTTTATTTAGACGAGTAGAGGAGGATACAATTATGTTGGATATTTGACTAGACTAAGACACTTGTACATGATTAACATTGCAAATACTCTTTGTTCCAAATGTGCGTTACATTTTAATATGTTAATATTCACATTTAAACTTTCTTCTTATTCTCAGGAAACTCCAAATGTTGAAGCCATGCGGGTTGATGAATACCGACCATTGAAACGTGCGGACTTCAAAAAGATGTCTAACCTAATAATGCTAATTGTAAAATGCGATTGTCTAGGCCTTTCCAAATCTCTAGACCTTCCTGATTCTCTTCGTTATCTTTACTTGTTTTTATATCCACTGGAATCCTTGCCGTCAAATTTTACTCCGGAAAATCTAGTTGAGCTTCATATGCCATTTAGCAAAGTTAAGAAGCTTTGGAAAGAAGAGCAGGTATATTATATTATATGCTTATTTTAATTCTTGTATAAAATCAAGTGTAGAAATTATATTAATTCTTTATATTTCTATTTCATTTGTTGCAGATACTTGTCAACTTACAAGTTATCAATCTGTCGTACTCTGAGTATCTAACTGAAGTTCCAAATCTCTCTGGGAGTCTAAAAATTGTGAAGATAAAACTCAGGGGCTGTAAGAGTTTGGTTGAAATTCCTTCGTATTTTCAACATCTTGACAAGCTTATTCATCTTAATCTGGGGTACTGCTGGAGTCTCAAGTATCTTCCAAAGATGCCAGGAAGTATTCAATACTTAGATTTAGAATGCACTGGTATAAAGGAGGTGCCTGAATCAGTTTGGTCTAACGAAAATATTTCTTACTTGAATTTAAAGCATTGCAGAGGCCTTAAGAAACTTCCAAGCAGCAGGTGTAAGTTGAAAAATCTCGAGAAACTTGTTCTCGATGGGTGCTCTAACGTTGAAATTCTCCCAGAGATTTGGGAGCCAATAGAACATTTGAAGTCCTTAAGTTTAATTGATACAAAAGTTACAGAGCTACCCTCATCGATCTGTAATTTGAAATATCTTGAGAGTCTTGATCTCTCCTTTTGCTCTAGATTTTCCGAATTCCCTGAAATCTTGAAGCCAATGGAACAATTGCCTTCCACTCTCTGTTTTCGCTCTTTAGAAAAACTAGAACTCAGCCGCAGCGGTATATTGGAAATACCAGCAAGCGTCAAACAAGCTTCTCGGTTGTCTATGCTCAACTTACGCAGGTGCTGTCAGCTTCAATCTATACCAGAGCTCCCAGTGCTATGTGATGTTGACGCTGAAGGCTGCACGTCGCTGAAGATAGTGTCAAGTTCACGGACAGCACTCACACAAGGTTGGGATAAGCCTAATTATTGTTGCAGAATCTTTACTAATTGCCGAAAATTGGATAATAATTCAAGGAGCAACATAATGGATGAAGCACAGATTGCAATTATGCGAATGGCAACTGTTGCGCCTTTTGAGTACCATCGCCGGCATCATAATCCCTGGCCTCAGATTAAGATTGCATATTCAGGAAAAGAAATTCCAAATTGGTTCAGCTATCAAAATGAGGGATCTTCAGTAGACATCGAGCTTTGTCCAGATTGGTTTCGAACAGGTTTATTTGGTTTCGCTCTCTCTGTTGTTTCTCGGGTTTTCGATATACCGTGTGACGTCTGGAGCGTAAGAGCTAATTTCATTGTCAAATTTATGGGTGAAAACCATGAACTGTTCAGTTCTAAGTACATTATCCCAGACGTAGACTACCGTAACGGCCAACATCACGTGCATGTGTGGAATGAGGCCTTTAGAAGTGAAGAGGTAGGAAAAAACTGCTCCCCTGATATTTACAAACTTGCCATAGAGGCCTCTGTTGTCTTCTGCCCGGTGGATTTTGAAGGACAACCTGATTCCAAAGGTCGTGGATCAAGTGATGAGTCTGAAGCAAATGACAGTGATTAGGAAAAACTTTTAAAGGCAAATTTGTACTTTGATAGCTCACTTGTCTGACCAAGAAATAAGACAACAACTAGGTAAGGACTTTATTATTTTGGTATTGTTTATGCTTTATACATAATAAAGCGCTAGTTATGGAAGTGTATAATAGCCTATTTGTTATCCTTAAAACTTGATTTACCTTTATGTCATATAACCATAGACATTAATTAACACACCATGCCAGGGCAAAGTAAAAATCTCACAACCAAGCACGATAGTTTGAACATTCAACACGACAAAAATGTGCAATTGTTCAATGGTTGAACTGCAATGAGCCAAAAATATGAACGGCCCGATTGGACGAACACTGGCAAAGCTCAGTGTTCTTGTTTGCACCAAACAAAGATCAGAGAAACAAATTTTATTAGAGAGGGTAAAAAATTACAGAGTATTAAGGCTGAAAAAAGAAAGGCACAGCCCCAGTTTAATTATACAATCATCGAATTTGTAACAACGATAAAACTATAGGGCTCTTTGCTTCAATAGGACTAGGAACTTTCCAAAATTAAGGAGAAAAATTATACGTCGCGCTACAAGCTAAAGGAAGAAAAGAATGAAGATACATTACAGGTTCGATTGCTGAACTGCATTTTGACCCGGAAATATTCAATTTTCTCTCTAGCATCCAAGATTTCTTTCCCCAAGTCTCTGGGATATTTGTTATGATTTGACACTTACCAGGAAGTAACATGCACACATAATTTTGCCGCTCAAGATGAGAAAATTGGGGAAACATTAAAGTTCTAAGTACCTTTTTATCAGCTTCAGTTGCTTCTTTGAACTTTGAGTTCAATGAGTTAACCTCCTCTATACTCAGTTGATCTACAAGATGTTTCTCCAATTCCAGTACTCTGGGTTTCCGCTAATTGGCCTGCTGCTTTTCCTCAGCATGAGAAGGAGCAACTGTCTTCGGTGGCCTTCCTCCAGCTTTCAACATTATTGTCATCGCCGTCCGAACTTTGTTTTACATCGACTGCAGACCATTAACATTTATTCTTCGTCTTCTGCGGCCGATTCTGATGTAGCTGATTTTTAATTGGTTGGTTTCGATGGCAAGCTGATAAACTCTTTTTAATAATTATATATACATTTATAAATACGATTCATCAACATTAGCATAAAAGTTATTCTCGTATAGATAACATGATTAGTCATTTCCACACAAGTTTTTCTTACTTACTTTCCAACTAAGTTCTAGGCCTTCTCATGACCTCTCGATAGCCTCGAAATATAAATTTCAAATCTTAGGCAATCTCCAATAATGATGGATTATATTTTTAGCCCTCAGTGATTTTGTAGTGTAAAATTGACTTGTTTTTATTATTTTAGGAATTATAAAATGGTAATCAATTGATAGTGCTTAGAAATTTCTTTGAAATAAATTGGTCACTAATTGTGAATGTACAAAGCTTTGTACGTAAAACGTGCAAAATACGAAAATTGAATGAGAAAGAGTGAGCTTTTTTTTTTTATTTTAATAATTAAATTAAATTTATTTATTTAAACTACAAGCAATATTCTATATTAGTCTATATTAAGAGAAGGCGAAGGGTTTGAATTGACATGGGTTAAAAAGAAATGCCCCCAACCATAAAGGCAATCCACCCCTTTACGTAATGGTTGAACGAGTACATAATCTGAGTGCTACAGTGACCCACTAGGTGTAGGTTAGTTGTCTCTGTCAAGATTAAGTTTTATTGATGGTCTACTTATCAAAAGCTGAAACTAATGGATGGAAAATAAGAAGAGTAACGCTAGAGAGACTAAATTTGCATATTAAATTTGCAAACTAAATGATGTGTTACCAATAAAAAAGAAATGCATTAATCAACGCTTAAGTAATAATCAAATCATCACCTTTCATGTTATTTAGTTTATAAAGTTTAGTCTATAAATTTAGTCTCCCTAACATTGTCAAAAAAGTAAAAAAAAAAATATGCAGAGATGACATGACTTGTGAGTTGTGACTTGTAAGCTTTAATGAAAGTAATGAACCGGTGAGGATGTGCCTTTTTTTTGTCTTTCTTCTTACGGTGAAATCAAACTGAATTGGTTGAGGCTCTATAATTCAATGAATTGATTTGTCACTGGTGCTCGGAAAGTTAGAGTTCAAATCTTGTTCAATCTCAATTGGTGAATAACTATATTCTTAGCCCTCAGTAATTTTGTAGTGTGAAAATTAAAAAAATGTCCTCAATCAAAGTTGCTTGGAAATTTCTTCAAGCTGATTACTAAACTGGAAAACTTTACAACCATGCACGCAAAGAGCGTAAAGGGAGGGCACCATCTCATGCGGCCCTTTTATACTTTTACGACCGTTCATCTCTCACTCGATATTCCTGAAGGAGCCTTTGGAACTTTAGTCAAAAGCCAAGTCGATAGCTTTGAAAGTAGGGGTTGTAAATTAATTCATTAAATTATTAATGAATAATTATTAAGACTCGTTTAGTTTGATTTTTAACATAACATAGCGGTAAGATTGATAGTTTTAATGATTGTGTAAGTCAAAGTAATGAGTTTGAGACTCCAATGACTTGATTTGTCACATGTGTTGAGAAAGATAGATACCAAATCTTATTCAATCTCCATCCATAAACACCTATATACTTTTTTTTTTGAAAAATAAAGACAACTGGAGCAACTATCCATCTCTTCTGATACCAACTCCAATGGTGGGCTAAAAATCAAATTACCTTCCAAAATTTCCCCCCAAACCTACTCCAACCCAAGGGATAATTTTGGGCTATGCTAAATGCTAAACCAATGTCAAATTTCTCCCAAAATTTGGCCTAGAAATCGGAGTGGACTCCACCCAATATTTATCGGAATTTAAATTTTTTTAGATTAAAATGTTTATAAAATTAATTTACGATGGTCTACATATTTATTTAAAAAAAATTCAATTTAACAAAAAAAATAGCCTAAATTCATTCTTTAATAATTCCGGGCTAAAATTTAAGGCTAGAACGGTTGGAGTAGAAAAACTATTTTTATACTAAAAGTTAAATTTTTTGGACTAAAAAATTTGATTTTTACCCTAACTATTGAAGATGATTTGAGGGATAAAAAGGCTATAGGGAGCTTTACCCTAAAATTCACTTTTTTGTAAAATAAAAAAGTAACAAAATGTCGCAATCAAAGGTGCTTGGAAATTTTTCTTCGAAGAAATTGGTGACTAATTAACTGGGAAAATTCAAAACCATGCGTACACAAACCGCGTAAAGAGAGGCCCCATCCCATGTGCCCTTTTTTATGCTTTTGCAACTTTTCATCTCTTACTAATCGCTTTTCCGGAAGAGCATTTGAAACTTCGTGCATTTACTCAAATGCAATTCAAGTAAAATTCGAAACTAGTCTTCCCTTCTCCTCTCGTTTCATTAGATCCTCCTCAATTCTTGACTACCCTCTCTCTCTTGCTTTGCTTTATTGGATCCTCCTAAATTTTGAACCAGTCCCTCTTTCTACTCTATTCACAATTAATCTCTCTGCACAACTACTTCTGGATCTGAAAACTAGAGGTTATGGATATGGTTTCTTCTTCTTCTTCTTCATTCGCTGCTGATACAAAAAAGTAATTGTTTTGGATATTATTTTGAAGGTGGAGAAAATAAACAAGCCCTTGTCAAATTGGTAACTCGTCAGAGGTTGGTCGGTGTTTATTGATACTGTTTGAGGCTCTTACTGTATTTTTTGTCATTTATTTTTAATTAATAAGTTTTGGTGTTATGTTGTGCTGGCATTTAAATTGCTAATTAATTTTTGTTATGTCTGCTGTTAATTTCTTTGCTAGTGACCTGTCACCGGATGTCACTTTGTTTTGTTTGCATCTTGATCAATTGTCTTCCTCTTGACGTTTGGATTAAACGGTTCTCTTAACAGAGGTTCTGAAAAGCTTCATTACAAAAGATTGACAGAGAAAGCGCCAATGGAAATAGAAAACAAGGAAGAGAACAGAAGAAAAAGGTCTCAAGTTGATTTTTTGCATCCTTTTTCTGTGGTGTTTTTTGGTATGCATAATAATCTGATTTATGTTTATTGACTATACGAAACATAACCAAAACTTCACTTGCAGGAATCGATCAGGTGACGATGATGATACTGATTGTGAGGGGAGCAAAGCAAGGAGACAAGGTTTACACTTATATCATTTTATGGTTTTCAATTAACATTGCAAATATATGAGTATCTTTCTTTAAATTATAGTTTTTTTTAAAGAAAATATGTGCCTATTTCGTTCATCTCTCACTCATTGAAACTTTGTGCATGTAGTCAAAAGCCAATTCTAAGTAAATTCTCCTTAATTCGGTGCAACGTAATAATATTATTTCTCTTTAATTAACAATAATCTCTCTGCAACTACATCTTTTTGCTGGATCTGAAAACTAGATGTTGTGGATATCGCTTCTTCTTCTTCATCCACTGCTGATGCTGATGATACCAAAAAGTACGATGTGTTTATTAGTTTCAGAGGTGAGGACACCCGCCGTACTTTCACCAGCCACCTCCACGCTGCCTTACTTGAGAAAAAAATCACAACTTATATTGATGACAAGCTTAAGAGAGGAGATGAAATCGCACCTGCCCTTCTCCAAGCAATCAAGGAATCAGAGCTTTCGGTGATCATTTTCTCGAAAGACTACGCTTCTTCCACGTGGTGTTTGGATGAGCTTGTGCGTATCCTAGCATGCAAGGAAAAACATGGCCAGTTTGTTATACCCATTTTTTACGACACCCTTCCATCGGATGTACGAAAACAACGGGGGAGTTATGAGGTTGCATTTGCTCAACTTGAGCAACGTTTCCAGAACAGTATCGACAAGGTGCACAAGTGGAGGGATGCTTTGACGAAGGCAGCAGATATATCTGGTTTTGATTCAAAAAATTATGGGTAACTAACTAATTCTTTTAACTAGTATAAAATTATAAATTTTCTTTGAACTTGTGATGATTTTATTGTGCTAAGATTTTGTAAGGTATGAACATTTAAGACTAACTATTACTTTCCTACGTATATATGCCAGGACGGATGCTGATTTAGTTAAGAAAGTTGTTGAAGATATTTGGACCAAATTGTGTCGTGCATCATCCTGCGATTTAAAGGGCTTTGTTGGAATTGAAAGCCGCATTAAGCAGGTCGAATCGCTATTAGGCATTCATTCATCGGATGCTTGCATCACTGTCGGTATTTGGGGCATGGGTGGTATCGGCAAGACCACCCTTGCTGAAACTATATTTCACAAACTCTCTTCTAAATTCGAAGCTTCTTGTTTTGTTAAGAATGTTAGGGAGAACTCAGAAAAAGCAGGTGGACTAGATCACTTGGAAACAACACTTCTTAAGGAGATATTAAAGGAAGAAGGTCTATCCATGGGATCAACTAGTGTTCGAAAAAGGCTCAGCCGCACAAAGGTTCTCATTGTTCTTGATGATGTGAGTAGATCAATGCAAATAGAACGTTTAGCTGGAGATCGTCTTCGGTATGGCACTGGAAGTAGAATCCTTATCACAACTAGAGATAGGGGCACACTTGGGCAAACTGTTGAAGAGAATGATATCTATGAGGTTGAGGTACTAAAACCGGATGACGCTCTTCAGCTCTTCTGTTCGCGTGCTTTCAAGAATAACAGTACGCGTATAATAGATTGTAAGGAGTTGGCAGAAAAGGCGGTGGCTTATGCCAAAGGCCTTCCTTTAGCTCTTACAGTTCTAGGGTCCTTGTTCTTCAATTGCAAGAGCAAAGAAGAATGGGAAGATGTGTTCAACAAATTGAAACGATTTCCCAGTGAAGATATTCAGGAAGTGTTGAGAATAAGTTATGATAGATTGGGAGAAAATGAGAAGGAGATATTTCTGGATATAGCATGTTTTCATACAGGGCAGTCTCTGGTTGAGGTAAAACAGATGTTAGATGCTCGTGGATTCTTTGCGACAGATGGAATTAGAATTCTCAAAGATATGTCTCTCATATCAATTGATTCAGAACTGGAAACCATACCGGTGGTCCTAGAGATGGACGATTTTCCACAAGAAATGGGAAGGGAAACCATAGTGATGCACGATTTGCTACAAGAAATGGGTGGGAAAATTGTTCAAGAACAAGGTAATAAAGATCCCGGTAAACGGAGTAGGTTGTTCAATGATGGGGATGTCTATCGTGTATTGAGCAGTAATATGGTAAGAGCCAAATGTATTCAATTTTTTTTTCTTTTCTTTAGAAAATAAAAATTACAAACTTGAGATGATAACACAACAAAGTAAAACTAATTTATAATAAAGAAGTGAGATTGTTAAAAGATGAATTTGATTGAATATTTATTATGTTAGGAAGTGTTTGGAATATTGACAAATGTTTGTTTACTTAGACAAGTAGAGGAGAATACAATTATGTTGGATATTTGACTAGACTAAGACACTTGTACATGATTACCATCGCAAATACTCTTTGTTCCAAATGTGCGTTACATTTTAACATGTTGAAAACATATATATTCACATTTAAACTTTCTTCTTATTCTCAGGAAACTCCAAATGTTGAAGTCATAAAGGTTTATTGGCCTTACATTGAAAAGCGATCATTGAAACATGTAGACTTCAAAAAGATGTCTAACCTAGAAATGCTAATTGTACAATGCAGTTTTCTAGGCCCTCCCTATTCTCTAGACCTTCCCGATTCTCTTCGTTATCTTGAGTGGTGGGGATATCAATTGGAATCTTTACCGTCAAAATTTTCTCCGGAAAATCTAGTTGAGCTTCATATGTCACATAGCGGAGTTAAGGAGCTTTGGAAAGAAGCGCAGGTATATTATATTATATGCCTATTTTAATTCTTGTATAAAATCAAGTGTAGAAATTATATTAATTCTTTATATTTCTATTTCATTTGTTGCAGATACTTGTCAACTTACAAGTTATCGATCTGTCATTCTCTAAGGATCTAATTAAAGTTCCAAATCTCTCTAGGAGTCTAGAAATTGTGAAGATAAATCTCTGGGGCTGTGACAGTTTGGTTGAAATTCCTTTGTATTTTCAACATCTTGACAAGCTTATTCATCTTAATCTGGGGTACTGCAGGAGTCTCAAGTATCTTCCAAAGATGCCAGGAAGTATTCAATACTTAGATTTAGAATGCACTGGTATAAAGGAGGTGCCTGAATCAGTTTGGTCTAACGAAAATATTTCTTACTTGAATATAAGTGATTGCAAAGACCTTAAGAAACTTCCAAGCAGCAGGTGTAAGTTGAAAAGTTTTTCTGGGAGTCTAGAAATTGTGAAGATAAATCTCGGGGGCTGTACAAGTTTGGTTGAAATTCCTTCGTATTTTCAACATCTTGACAAGCTTATTCATCTTAATCTGGAGTACTGCAAGAGTCTCAAGTATCTTCCAAAGATGCCGGGAAGTATTCAATACTTAAATTTAGAATGCACTGGTATAAAGGAGTTGCCTGAATCAGTTTGGTCTAACGAAAATATTTCTTACTTGAATTTAAAGCATTGCGAAGACCTTAAGAAACTTCCAAGCAGCAGGTGTAAGTTGAAAAATCTCGAGAACCTTGATCTCGATGGGTGCTCTAACGTTGAAAATCTCCCAGAGATTTGGGAGCCAATGGAACATTTGAAGTCCTTAAGTTTAATTGATACAAAAGTTACAGAGCTACCCTCATCAATCTGTAAGTTGAAATATCTTGAGAGTCTTGATCTCACCAGCTGCTCTAGATTTTCCAAATTCCCTGAAATCTTGAAGCCAATGGAACATTTGAAGTCCTTAAGTTTATTTTACACAGCAGTTACAGAGCTACCCTCATCAATCTGTAACTTGAAATATCTTGAGAGTATTGATCTCACCGGGTGCCTTAGATTTTCCAAATTCCCTGAAATCTTGAAGCCAATGGAACATTTGGTGTCTCTTTGTTTGGAAGGCACAGCTTTCGAAATGCTTCCTTCGTCAATTGGAAATCTAAATAGGCTTCAAGATTTAAACCTTAGTAGGTGCAGGCAACTTAAGGATTTCCCAACAAGTATCTCCAGTTTAACCAATCTTAAACGTCTCAAATTTAATGGCTGTCGGAGACTTGAAAAATTGCCTTCCACTCTCTGTTTTCGCTCTTTAGAAGAACTAGAACTCAGCGACAGCGGTATATTGGAAATACCAGCAAGCATCAAACAAGCTTCTCGGTTGTCTATGCTCGACTTAGGCGGGTGCGGTCAGCTTCAATCTATACCAGAGCTCCCAGCGCTATGTGATGTTCACGCTCAAGCCTGCACGTCGCTGAAGATAGTGTCAAGTTCAAGGACAGCACTCACACAAGGTTGGGATAAACCTCATTGTTTCAAGGTTTTTACTAATTGCCCAAAATTGGATGATAATTCAAGGAGCAACATAATGGATGAAGCACAGATTGCAATTATGCGAATGGCAACTGTTGCGCCATTAAAGGACTATTGCTTGCCTCATAATCCCTGGCCTCATATTAACATTATTTGTCCAGGAAAAGAAATTCCAAATTGGTTCAGCTATCAAAATGAGGGATCTTCAGTAGACATCGAGCTTTGTCCAGATTGGTTTCGAACAGGTTTATTTGGTTTCGCTCTCTCTGTTGTTTCTTGTGATGTCTGGAGTGTAAGAGCTAATTTCATTGTCAAATTCATGGGTGAAAGCCATGAACTGTTCAGTTCTAAGTACATTATCCCAGGCAACAGCTCCAACTACCAACATCACGTGCATGTGTGGAATGAGGCCTTTAGAAGTGAAGAGGTAGGAAAAAACTGCTCCCCTGATGTTTACAAACTTGCCAAAGAGGCCTCTGTTGTCTTCTACCTGGAACCTGGAAATTCTGCTTCCAAAATGAAGGTGGAAAGCTGTGGTATATGCCCATTGTATGCGGAAGATGCTGAGAAATTCAAATTTGGTCATGTGTTCAAGTCGAGGGGACCAAAAGTAGAAGAAGAAACAAGACAAGATGATGATTCCAAAGGTGGTGGATCAAGTGATGAGTCTGAAGCAAATGACAGTGATTAGGAAAAACTTTTTAAGGCAAATTTGTACTTTGATAGCTCACTTGTCTGACCAAGAAATAAGACAACAACTAGGCAAGGGCTTTATTATTTTGGTATTGTTTATGCTTTATACATAATAAAGCGCTAGTTATGGAAGTGTATAATAGCCTATTTGTTATCTTTAAAACTTGATTAACCTTTATATCATAACCATAGACATTAATTAACACACCATGCCAGGGCAAAGTAAAAATCTCACAACCAAGCACGATAGTTTGAACATTCAACACGACAAAAATATGCGATTGTTCAATGGCTGAACTGCAATGAGCCAAAAATATGAACGGCCCGATTGGACTAACACCGGCAAAACTCAGTGTTCTTGTTTGCACCAAACAAAGATCAGCGAAACAAATTTTATTAGAGAGGGTAAAAAATTACAGAGTATTAAGGCTGAAAAAAGAAAGGCACAACCCCAGTTTAATTATACAATCATCAAATTTGTAACAACGATAAAACTATAGGGCTCTTTGCTTCAATAGGACTAGGAACTTTCCAAAATTAAGGAGAAAAATTATACGTCGTGCTACAAGCTAAAGGAAGAAAAGAATGAAGAAAAAACGAGATGCATACACAAAGAAATGAAATACAAAAGATACATTACAAGTTCGATGGCTGAACTGCATTTTGACCCGGAATTATTTAGCATCCAAGATTTCTTTCCCCAAGTCTCTGGGATATTTGTTATGATTTGACACTTACCATGAAGTAACATGCACACATAACTTTGCTGCTCAAGATGAGAAAATTGGGGAAACATTAAAGTTCTAAGTACCTTTTTATCAGCTTCAGTTGCTTCTTTAAACTTTGAGTTCAGTGAGTTAACCTCCTCTGTACTCAGTTGATCTACAAGATGTTTCTCCAATTCCAGTACTCTGGGTTTCCACTAATTGGCCTGCTGCTTTTCCTCAGCATGAGAAGGAGCAACTGTCTTCGGTGGCTTTCCTCCAGCTAGGGGTGCCATGTGCCGAGCACCAAGACCAGGCATCAGTTGCTGTTGTTGAAAGCCTTTTAAAGTGAAAAATAAGAAACTATTCTCCAACGAAGAAAGACATGTTTCAAAATATAAAAGTGATTTGTTTTATGGATGAATACCAGAAGCAGGTCTCCAGGCTACATTGCCAGCATTGGAGTAATTATTTGCAGGTTCAAAAATATTGGATTTAGCAAACATAAAATTGCTTGGTAGCACTGCTGGAAGAGGGCGTCCCTCCCTAAACCGCTCCATCAAAGATAATGCGGCATGATGGGTAGTCATTCTATCAATCTAGACTGCACATTTAGACATGACTCAATTTAATAGTATATATTTATGGATGTTCGTATGTCAATTGGCCAGCAAAAGATTACTCCCAATCACAAATTAAATTTTATATCTACAAAATATCTATGGCATCTGTAAGTTTTTACATCAAAATACGAACACATCATGCAAAGAATGAACATCCAGCAGTAAAGCATCTCGCAGAAAAATATGATTGATTGAGCCTGTTATGTTCAGCAATTCAAGCTAATGAGAGAGTGCATTCATATAATCGATATTTAACATAATATGCCCTGGTTATCATTTTATATGGAAATTCCTTCAGCAAAACAAGTATACAGCTTTAAGAACCTATTTGTCGATATGATCTTGACCCAAGAACATTTCCCTTGTATGCGACAATCCTAACTACTCCATAGTCATCTTATACTGCAGGTTTTCACTACTGCACAATTTCTAAAGTCTGCTTACCCCCTCAGGTCGAACGGATACACCAGAAGGTATATTAATGAACTGATAACATAACTCTCTCAACCTCACTAACTGTAGTATAAATTTTTCATCTACTTATTTTCTACCATTTGAACATCAATTCCGCATTTATACTAACACGAAATAAAAAACACAGCTTAGATAAGAGAATTAAGCTACAATTAGACTACACATTTACCACTTCAACTACAATTAGACTACAAATTCAAAATCAATCTGATTCGGAACACAAATATAATCATACACACACATCCAATTATACATATACACACATGCATGTACATACATACATACATATATATATATATAGAGAGAGAGAGAGAGAGTACCTGAGCAAGGACCTGTTTGGGTGACCAGAGCCCTGGAAGAAAACGACGGCTTCATTGCCACTAATCCGGCCATCGCGGTCCAAATCGGCCCGTCGGAAATACGCATCAAAGAGATCCACATTTGCCGATTGGTTCTGCAGCGATGCCATCACCACCGTCGGATTGCGATTCGCGGGAGATCAGACCACGGAATCAATCGAGAGCGTCGCGCGCTCAGGCTGCAGTACGCGTAAGGAGCGCCCGGAAGAATCAGAAAACCACGAATTCGGAGGACCATGATTTGGTTGCCCTTCTTCTCCGATTCGGAGGAAAATCAAAAGACGACGGAGACACTGAGCGATGCCGGCAGTTTGGGGTAGAAAAACGATGATTTTTCGTTTTGATTTTTTGTGACAAAAATGGTGCTGTTTTTGTGTTATATTTCAAAATTACCACTGGTCCTAATGAGCCCGGCCCATTAGGTACTACCATTTAGAAATCGAGTTGGTTTGCAAGTTTATGTTTTCGATTTGTCGACTTAATGCGAGATTGAGAAGGAAGCTACAATTTAATGCGAGATTGAGAAGGTGCACGTATAGAAAGGTGCAAATTCATGCGAGATTGAGAAGAACGCTACAATTTAGAAATCAAAGTCATTTGTTTGTCGGATATTTGCTATGTTACATTGTGAGACTGTAAATCGCAGATGTACATTTGAACATCGTTCTGTAAATCCGTCTAAAGAAGAAACCTAATTGATAATCTATACACACCCATACATATTAACTACTCTTATCATGGCCAACAAGCAGCTCATGTCCACAACGGTTTTGTGTTCACGTTTCATCGGTTTCACGTCTTCTTTTTCTTTAAGGGCACGATCAATGATTAGCATTCTAAATATGATTATAAACCCTTCAAATAACTTCATTAGTTGGTACAATTAAGGCATTTTGATTGATCCCTTTTGTGATCACCTCATTTTTGCCATTTAATTAGTCCCTGAAACTTCTTGCATTACATGATGTGCATGGAAAGGTCTATTAAATAAAACATTGGGGATCTTTGAAGTAGTACTATGTTTCATATCAAAATCAAGGAACGGGCCTAATAATTGACGTAATTAGTAAACATTGACACATAATGTAATGCATTCTTAATTGGAGCTACAACCTTGTCTGGTTTCCATTTTTTGTAAGTGTATATATTAGTTTGGCGTATGTTGTCGGCCACTCTAGATTGAAATGGTCAACTTCGTTGTGGGAGCTTCTTTTGTTCTCAGTTATAGCAAAAATGTCTCAATCACTGAGACGAATTTCTCGAATTTTATCAAGTACATGTCAATTTATGTGCTCCTAACTATTTTTTAGTATAAATAGTTGCACCTTCTTATTTGCAAATATTAAGAACAGTTGCTCACGTGTGCGTAAACGGTAGACTATGAATACAAACATAACTTATATTCTAATAGGATATATGGTGTTAAAAGATAAATAATAAAGTTGAGTATTTTTTAGTATACCGAAAACACGATCTAATACACCAAGTGCTGTTTTCCAATCATGGACTATATTTAATAAGTTACTATTTTTTTTTTTTTTGAGATATATTTAATAAGTTACTATTAAAAGATAACTCTTGATTTGGATAATATGAAAAGAAAAGGAAATTAGGGTATTATTATTTTATATTAATATGAATATTACTTAATTATTTTGTCAGACATTTATCCATTAGCTGGTGTAGCAGCTAATGGGAGGCCTGGACTGCATACGGCGCTTCCCCAACGCCCACTTCCACCGCCATTTATGTCCCCTGGCCTCTCCACCTCCTCCGTCTTCATCACCGCCGGCAAAAACCCTCCTCCTATTCTCTCCCACATCAAACACCCAAACTAGAACAATCAACACCAAAAATGCCAGTGCTGGGTACAAGAAGGAAAAGATGAAGATGGCAGAGATCTGACTCTCAGACCTCCTTTCTCCCTCCCTCAAAACCAACAAACCCAGCAACAAAAACAACAAAACGATGACGATGACGATGACAAAGCAGAAGAACAAGAAGAAGGGGAAGATGAAAACAGAGCACAAGGCCGTGGCCGAGGGAACTGGACGATAGTGCTGTCGTCGAGCTTGGTGGGTCTGCTCACCGGAATCGGCGTCGTCCTCTTCAACTACTCTGTATGTTTGATTTTTATCCATAACTCAATTGTCCATTTTTCCTTTTCTTGCTTGCTTGTTTGCAAAGTTTTGAGCTTTTATCTGAAATTTTACACAAATTGTAAATGTTCATGAGATGCATTAGGATGTGTGTTGTCCATCTGTTTGGCTTGAGTCCTGCAACATGTGAGGGGCGCGTGAGGTTATGAAAAACTGTACCGCATCGGAAAGTTAAGGAACCTTGCATTAACTTATAAGGAGTCGGGGCTACTGCCCCATTTCCAGTTTGGGTGGGAACCTCAGTTTCCGTCACTCATTACCCATTTTTTCTTTGCTTTTTTCTTGCTTGCTTATACATAAAGTTTTGAGCTTTTTCTGAGATTTTGACATGAATGGGAAGGTTCATGAGATACGTGACGTGTTCTGGGGTGGGATGCGGCAACGGGGAGCTTCATGGCTGAGAAAGGAGTACATGGGAGATACGTAGAAGCAGGTGATTCTGGTTCCAGCTTCTGGAGGGTTGTGTAGAAGTCTAATATCTTGCAGTAATCAAGAGATTTAGAGAGAGAGAGATTGAATATGTGAAGAATGATTCTCCTTAACTTTCACAATGCACTATTCAAAAGGATATAGACATATAAATGTCTATTGCCTAGTCACCAATCTTACATAACAGTCTTATCTACCAATTACTTAACCATTATGGTAAGCACTAATCTGGTGCCTTGAGTGCACTGTGATATGGTGATCCTCTATTACCCTTTAACAGTTTGATTGTTGCCATAATAAACTTGTTTTGAGATGCTTTTGAGGATGGTTCACAATATAACAATGGCAATGAGCAAGGAGGAGAAAAAGGAGAGAATTTACTAGTGGAAATGGGAGTGCCTATTTCGGGTTTTGATGGTTTCAAGGCAGCATTGTGTCCTTTTGTCAAGGCAAGTGCTGCTTGTGTCACACTTGGGACTGGGAACTCGTTAGGTCCTGAGGTCCTAGCGTTGAGATTGGAACTTCTATAGCCAAGGGTATTGGTGCTGTGTTTGATAAAAGTCCACAAAGAAAGCTCTCTTATGTGGCTGCTGGAATTGCTTCTGGTTGGTATTCAGTTTTGTGTATATCTATGCTGCCGTTATCAATACATGTATGCCCTCATTGTAATTGTTGTTCTGTTTTGACAGGGTTTAATGCTGCTGTTTCCGGTTGTTTCTTTCCCGTAGAGTTCCATCACCACCTAATTCCTCATTCATTTCACTTGTGAATACCACTTCTATGGTCATACTTAGTGCTGTGATAGCTTCTGTAGTTTCAGAAGCTGGTCTTTATTTCTGAACCAGCCTTTAAGGTCCCATACTATGACTTCCGCTCACCTGTTGGTATTTGTTGACAATCTTCACAAGACCGTTGGCCTACCAAATTTTTTTTTTCCCTATCGTGGGTGGCTTGGCTATTGGGCTGATGGCATTGGCGTATCCTGAAATTCTTTATCGGGGTTTCGAGATGTTGACATTTTGCTGGAATCTCGACCACTTGAGAAAGGCCTCTAAGCTGATCAGTTTCTTCAGTTGGTAGTGGTCAAGATAGGTGCAACCTCATTGTGTCGAGCCTCTGGATTAGTTGGAGGCTACTATGCTCCATCACTTTTTACTGGTGCAGCAACAGGAATGGCATACGGAAAATTCATCAGTTCTGCAGTTCTTAGTCCAATCCTATACTTCATCTTTTCCATATTGGAAGTACCATCACCGCAAGTATACGGTCTGGTAATGTTCAACTAGTATACTTGATATCTGGCAAGATAGTTTACCTTCAAAATTGAATGCTATTATCCAGAAACCTATAGCCATTACCTTCAGGGGCAAATACCTTTCTTTTTAGAAGTAGAATGTGTTTCCTGCAATTGTCTTAGTTCTAAAGTGTCGAATGGTCTTTTGACAATTGACATGGAGTGTACATAATATCATTCTCCATGGTAAACTTGAAAAGTCCGAACTTTTCTCGGTGAATATATTATTTCTCTTTCTGGTATTTGCCTGCTAAATTCTGAAGGTATCCCAAAATCTGGATGGAGTTGACACTCAGAGAGAGTCCATTTTCAGGTTGGAATGGGTGCTAGTCTTGCAGGAGTCTGTTGCTTTTTGAATTGAAACAAGATTATCGTACTGTGCTGCCACTACTTGGAGCTGTGGGGTTATCTTCGTGGATTACATCTGGACAGACGAGGAGAAAAGTTATCGGGAAGACGAAGAAACTCAAACAGGGAAACAATAGTAGCATTCAACAACCTGAAGTGCTTTCCCCTACTGCAAATGGGATATCTTCAAGTGGTTATCGTTTGTTAATGAAAAATGAAAATTCGTTTGAGTAAAGAAATGAGTTAAGCAGATTATAATCCTAGTTTCTGACATCCAAACTTTTCAAAAACATCAGTCACCTATGCCCAATCATTCAGGATAATGCGGGTTTGAGTCTAGTAATAAATGCTTCCTCTATGAACATCATACGACATCCTAAATTTCTAATCCCATTTCTTCCCAAATGAAAGAGGAAAATTGGATTTTGGAGCACCAAATTCCGGGGCAGTGGACTACCGATTGAACTTACGATTCTTGAAATAAGCATGGTTTTAGGGTTCCGACCAAAGAATCCGGTTTTGGGATACAACAGTATAATGACAGTTCCATGCCTTCCTATTTAACTTTTAATAGTTCAAAACAGTGAAGAAAAAAACATGTACAAGAGGCCAAATTTGGGTACTTATCCATGATAGTTTAAACAAGCGTTGAATTCTTACAAATACAAGAAATGCTAAGATACATGAAATGCTACTGCTCAGATAAATTACCAACTTCACAAATCGAAGGACGCTTAAGTTTGAATGACTTTGCTTGTGATCAAGTTACCCTAAATAAATTTGATTGTGATAACGTTTATATCTGGTCTGCAGGCTTATTCATAGTGTCTTGTTCAACTTTCACAGTTGGTGGTTCATCCACTGATCCAGATCCCATATCCAAAGCCTGCAAATATCAATGTCAGAAAACTATTAGTGGGATGGTTTTCTTATGAAAGAGGAACCTGATTCTAATGGACTCATGTGTTAATTTCACCTTTGCGCCTGTTGTTATCTCATCTACTGCTGGATCATAGCCTGAGCTTCTAGCGTTCTCCGAGGTCCCTTTCTGGATCTCCAGTGTGCCACAACAACCAGAATTAGATAATGTTGAGGCAAATAAACATAACAAATAGGTTATCATCCATGTTTATGTAAGTTTTAAAATGCAGCACAGCAAAGGAAATGAGCACATCGTAAGAAAGTAATGCTACGTGCAGGATATAAACATATAATCATAAACAGCAGTAGATACCATAGCTGGCAACATTATATTCTCATAAGAAAGAAGGGGAACATTACTAATCACCAATGTAGGCTTCACGTAACAATAAACAAGAGACAGGATAACAGGGGAGCAACAGAACACTATGAAGAGACAAGCTTCCTCTTTATATATGATTTGGATGGTTTGAATAGATTCTAGTCAAATCCAGGTGTTAGTAAGTTTATGGTTGGAGCCGTCAAGAATGGTGCATATTGAGTTGGTTCATTGCATCATGCCATCATCTAAACGAATGAAACAGTAAACTCCAGGGGGACTATTTAACTTGTGTACATAAGAGATTTTGTTTTTCCAGTAACTTTCATCTTTTAGCCTTTCGTCAATATGTTTCTGTTTTTTTGCCATGGACAAACAATATAACCACTTGTCCTTTATCAGACAATGAGCACAGTTTTACTATACATGAAATTTAATGCAGTAGTGTTTAAGAATATAGCTGACCCCACTTAGTAGGAAAAGGCTTTGTTGTTGATGTAGTGTTTAAGACTAGACAAATGAATTTGCAGCCAAATACAGTGAATTATAGTCTAAATGATTCCACACCCAAAAAAAAGTTGAGCTCGAGAGATGATTTGTGACATACCGGATCTTTAACTTCAGGTTCAATGATCTCTTTCTTTACTCTGCTTGGTAAAGGCTTACTGTATAAACCATAAATAGTAAATTGCAAAGACGAAAGTGCTAGATAATGAGAGCAAATTAGGAGAATAAATTGAAGTACCGTTCATCATCAACCTCCATATCAGAATCTGGATCCCACCTCTCGTCTGGGTCATCCTGTTCCTCATTCTCCTGAAAGAATTTCACAAAGAATAATATTAAAACATTGAATACAAGCCCATATAACAAAGTTAAATATTGAGTACAAATAACAACTTAATTTAGATAGATTTGAACTAGCAAGCAACATTCTTTATACATAGATTAATAAAAGTCAGACTGGAGCTTTGCTGCTATTTAGATACACAACTTTTCCCTTTGGATCATCACTATACTCATTAAAAAAGTCTATGAAACTTCCATCAAGTATTCTACCAGTTATGGAACAAGAACTATCATATTACAGGAAGGAAGTGGAAAACATAGGAACGTCAAAATGTAAGCTTGATAGCAAATAAATGGAAGAAAAAGACAAAAATTTGGATCTTCTGCTCAGGAACAATGTGGCTTTGGAGTAAATGCGGGCACCAGTTAGCTTATGTTATTAGAAATCTTGAGAACAAGAAGTTGTCTATTACAAGTTACTAATTTAGACTTTAGACAGAAGAAAAGTTCATGCACTTTAGCTGTATCATGTCAAATCAGAAGAAATAATTTCAGTCAGACGATTATTATGTTTTGATGAATATAGAAGATGGAAAAATAAATTAGCTGAGAAAATGATTAGTTGCAGAAACATACCTCCGGAAGCTCAGTATCAGGAGGTCTTTCCTGAAACTGGACACTGGGTGCATGCTGCAGACTGGAGAGGTTTTCAAGAAGCTTTGACCGTATTTCTTCTAGTAACATGTGAGAATTCTTATTTTCCATATTACTCGGGGCAACATGAAGAGTATAATCTGGACCGAAATATTCATAATACTCGTGCTGTGGCATTTTGTCCTCAATTTCTGCTCCAAGTGCTACTCCTGTCTGTATTACAAACAACATATCAAAAACAAACAAATTCCAAAGACACAAGACTAAACAAAAATTAGATGCACCATATACAGATGCTGTGAAACTACGCATCTCCCATTTATAACAGTGTATTAAAGAGTAGTCATCTGCCAGGCACTATAGTCGTATTATGCAATCACAAAACATTAACATGCTATCTGGAAAGAGATTATAACTTGCAATAAAAATCATGCTATATTTGCACAATTATATCATAAGTGAAATACTTTGGAAACATTAAAAGGTAGAACAGAATATGAGAAGTATACCTCGTAGCACCAACAGCGAGCAACATTGCGAATGGTATAGCCACCGCCACCTAGAAGCAAGAGCGGGACATTGAAGGATCTCATATATCTAACACACTCGGCATGGCCTTTGATGGAAAGATTGAAGCACCCAAGCCTGTCCCCAGATAAGGAATCAGCACCACACTGGAGAACCACAGCCCCAGGCTTAAAAATTTCCATCACCTTCCCAATGATGGGCTTGAACAAGTAATGGTAGCTCTCATCATCAATCCCGTCATCCAATGGAACATTAAGGGAGTAATACTTCCCTTTCCCGTAACCAATATCACGAATGTCCCCCGTGCCAGGAAAATAATCCCCAAACTTGTGAAATGAAACCGTCATGACCCTGTCCGTCGTGTAAAATGCCTCCTCAACACCGTCTCCATGGTGGATATCAATGTCCACATACAAAACGCGCTGTTCGGGCAAAACTTTAACAATTTCAGTAACCCATTTCAGAGATTGCACAATACAAACCCAACATCAAAAAGTTCAGACTTTAACTATGCAATTAACATTTTTGATAACCCAATTCAGAGATCATACAAAACATAACAAACCGAACAATCCAAACATCAAAAAGTTCAAAACTTTAACACTACGCAATCAAATTAACTAACCTCATGCTGCTTAAGAAGTTCCAAAATTGCAAGAACAATGTCATTCACATAGCAAAACCCAGAAGCCTCACACTTCTTAGCATGGTGCAAACCACCGGCCCAATTAATCGAAATATCACAAATCCCATGGTTGAGCTTCACAGCGCCGCCGACCGACCCACCAGCATAGGTCTGGCAAAACGAGTACAACCCATCAAAGACAGGGCAGTCCTCGCCGACATTGAACCGCTTGAGCTGCCGCAGCTGGTCCTGCTGCGTTTCGGGGGTGATGTTCCGGAGGAACGCCACGTAATCGTCGGCGTGGAAGCGGCAGAGGTCGCGGTCGCGGGCTGGGTAGGGTTTGAGGACCTGCATGTTCTGAAGGAGGCCATAGTGCGCGAGGAGGGCGTGGGTCATCCGAATCCGGTGGGGCTTCATCGGGTGTCCCTGCCCATAATAGTAATTTCCCACTTCTGGGTCGTAGAAATAGCTCACCTTCCTCTTCACTCCGTCGGCACCCGACACTAGAGAGTTGCCGCCGGTGTCCATCGTCGGCGGAAACCAGATTTTTCAGACGAAAATTGGAACTTTTTATATATTTTCAGATTGGTTTGTTGGGCTTGGGGTTATTGGGGGGTCCGTTTTAAACCGGCGGGTAGGGCATCAAATCAATGCAAGGAAAATGCCTTATTTTTGGTTTATTTATATTTGATTTATTTAATCAAGAAAGGAAATGTCTTGGATTTAATTTGAATGGAAAACTAATCAAAAATCCCAAAAAACTTTCTTTTTAATTATCAGGATAAAAATTTTCAAAAATGCCGATTCTATCCTTCCCACATATGTACAAGATTGCTCAGTATTCAGCAAAATTCACATGAATTCACCAAGGAATACATCCAAAAGAAGAGAAAAGAAGACTAACACCTTCAGATTACATTGGAATGCTAAAATCAAGGTGGCAAACATTGGAGCAGCCAAGACAACATGGATTCACATGACCTTCATTAAAACAAAGACAAGTTAGTCAGCTTTCAGAAACAGTGTGTTGTCCAAAAAATTGTAAATATTGAAAAATTATTTTGTTGTTTAGGAACTAGCTTTTGTATATAAGGGAGTTTTTCCTCCCATGTAGAACACATGAAAACAACATTGCAGAGACACACCATACTCACAACATCCTTCAATCCTCATACACTCAAGCATCCAAAAATCTTCCTAGCATCCCTTGTAAACATTTCTTTGTAAACACTTCTCTTTGTAAACATTCTATATATCAATAAAAGTTCAAGTGTACATATTCAAGCAATCTCCAAGCCTTAAGTAAGTTTTCTTTTCTTTTTTTAGTGTGTTTGTTTAATTAGACTTCTAGTCCAAAACAGGGAAACACTATTGTAGTTATATTATTAACCTACTAAACTGACGGTCATACTTTGTTCGAGCACTCTGTTATAGTTGAATGTTTGCCATACAAATAACTAGACATTAACCAGGGTACCTCTGAGTCATTCATAACTTTGAGTGTAGCCTTTTAGACCTTATACTTGTACTGTGAGTGGCTATCATGCTGAAACATGTTGAGTTCCATGTGCAAGGTTTTATGTCTAGTTGTTATAATGGTCATCCGACTATTTAACCAGGTCTGCTTTGCGAATATGGTATCAGAGCCAGGTTTAGCATTTTAATAGTATAATTATAATAGTAAAGTACCTTGAGGATGGAAGCCATTGATACAACTGATATCACACTTGTTTATTTTGTATGAACAACATATATTATTATCCTTATAGACCTTGTCAACCACAACCACAAGGTATTTATTATCCCAGACATCCAACTATAAATAGCATAAAGAGAAGATTAGCATACATATCTAAAAGAATTAGCAAGACTTTGAAGAAGCAAAAGTTTTATCGTGGTTATCTTGAACATCCTTCATTTATTCGTAAATATAATAACACAAAAGTGCAGCATAAAGTTTTAGAAGCAAAAAGAGCAACAAATCAAGTTTTAGAAACCTTGAGAGAAGAAAGAGAGTTTCTAAGAAATCAGTTAACAGTAACTTTAGAAAAAGATAAGCTGTAGTTTATGATAGATTACTTTAATTTAGAAATTAGTAAACCTCAAAAAAAAAAAAAAAAACCTTAGACCAAAATAGTTTAGTTTGTTATTTTCCATTGAGAAAACATAATCATATTTTGCATAGTGAAGAAAATCCTCTAGCCAATAGTATTGTAGATCTTATTATTAGTCAAGCAAAAAATATAAAATTAGAAAATAATAAGCATAATCATTTGTTAAATCAGTTGTTAGAGTATTTTCAGAAAAAATCCATAAAAACAATTAGACAAAATTTAGACTATATTACATCTCAGTTAGAAGATAATAATAAAAATATTCAAAAGTTTCCTAGCAAAAGAGAGATAAAAGAGCTTGTTGACCTCATAGATAGTAAACCTAAGCAAGTAGAACTTAGATCATTAGAAGTAGTTGAGCAATTAAAATTAGAAGTCCAAAAAATTCAATTAGTGCAAAAAGAGTTAAGTGAACAAATAAATAAGTTGCATAATAAAATAGATAAATTATTAGTTTAATGACTGATTCTAGAACTAACAGAAAATATATACAAGCTTTGAAAGAAATTAGTAAGTTAGACAAATAACCAATAGGTTTAACAGATTTTTCAACACAAGTAGCCAGTAGTAATATTCCCATTAGGCAAAATAATTTAATTATTCAATTAGTTTTAACTTTGGCTGAAAAATTAGATCAAGTTGAAGAACAAATAGTAGAAATAAACCAAATTTTACATAACGCATCTCCATCACTTCCACCATCTTTGATAGATAAATTAGAAAATTTAACTTTAAGTGCAAATAATAATAGAAGACCTAAGCTAAATCCTTTTGATAACAGAAAATTGAACTCTATAGGAAAAAAGAAAAAGAAGTAGTTAGAGCCGAAGATATTTATCCAAATGAAGAAGAAACATAAGAATTTATTAGAAGAGGTTTTGAGAGAACACAGAAAAATAAATACAATTTGTACCAATTAGGTTTATTTGAAAATAGAAGTAGAATTGTAAGTAGCATCAGTTAACATGAAGTTAGTTGTATTGATTAAGAAGTTACACTTAATTTAATTAGTAAGGAAGCAGTTACCCATTTGAGAAAATCACAATTTAGTCAAATTCATATAGAAACAATATTAATTGGAATAGCAAGATTGACCAGAGCACAAGTGGGTACAAAAACTTTAGTATACATATATGACGATAGTTAGGATAATCACTAACAAGCAGCAATAGCAACAGTTGAAGTAGACTTAAGTTCAAATTTAGCAGTCATAGGTTGTATTCCTAATTATGTTATAACAATAAACGAATTTAGTAAATATATTAAAGTAAGCATAAGAACAAAAAATTATAATATGAAGGGAGAGTATAAAAATTTGTGTATTAACTTAATGTATATTGGTAAAGTGTCTGATAGATATAATCATAAGTTTAATTTAGAATTTCAAAATTTAGTTCAAACATTTGGTAGTAAACATGTAAATATGATAGAAACAAAATATGTAGATAATAACTTTTTAGAAGAAACTCAATGGGCATTATCTAATTTACAAGTAGCAAAAAATAGACAACTAGATAAAGTACAAATATATGAAACCAATACAGGTCAAGCAACAATTATGTTTAGTAATTACAAGCAACTAGAAAAAAATAAAAAAGGTTGAAAGCGAGATCGAAAATGAGAGTATTCATATGACTTTTAATAATTTAGATATTAATTTAGTTGAGAAAAATTTTGATCATATTGTAAATAAGCTCATAGAAGATATTAATCATTTAGATGAAGAACAATACTTAGAAAAATATAAGACATGATTTAGGACCACATAGAATTTCCGATGAAGAGATGAAAACTTTAATTTTAGAAATAGGAGTAGAACATATTTTAGGACCAAAAGAATATAATAATTTATTAAAATTGAGAGCAGAATTCAAAGTAGAATGTAATCCAACAAAAGAAAGTAGTACATCAGGAGTAGAAAATCCAAATTCAAGACATGCAAGTAGAACTGATCAATAATTTTTGAGACAAACAAATGAGCACTATAATAAAGGAGCACAAGTAGACCACATGGAAGTATATAGCTGAATATACTACAAATTTCTTTAAATATATAAGAAGAACAGGTAGAATTAGTGATATTAATTTATTAGACACTTATATGACAAAAACAAAAGGACCAATAGGTGAAAAGATTTGGAATGAATGGCAAAATTACCCAAAGAAAAATGATATTGCAATAGGACCTAGAATTCAACATGTATATGATATACTTAGACAATAGTGTAGTCAAATAAAAGCTAAGAGACAAATTAGGAAACAATTTTACATGAGTTGTAAAAATATAGATTTACCGCAACAGTATGATTATCATAAGAAGAATAAGCATAAGAAAACATACAAAAAGAAATATAAATCATACAAACCATACAAACAACATAAGAATTTCAGCATAAGACCTTCAAGAACATATAAGAATAGAAAATATAGTCCAAAACAATTTAGGAAAAAGAGTCGTAAACCTTGGATTAGAAAATATAAAGCACCAAAGGATAAGAGTAGTTGTAAATGTTATTCATGTGGAGAAGCTGGACACATTAGACCTAAATGTCCAAAATTAGGTAAACAGTTGAAAGAAAAAATACATTTAATGGAGTTGTTTAAGTTAGAAGAAGATGAAGACATAGAGTCAATATATAATTTAGATGCTTTGAGTGATAATGAGAGTATTTATAGTATAGAAAATATAAATATGATAGATTTAGACTCGGAAAATTCAAGTAGCACAAATAACAATTTAGAAGAGTATATGTGTGCGTTCATAGAAGAACAACATGAAGAAGAATATAAATACATTAATTTAGGTTGGCCAGAAAAATATCATAAGTGTAGTAAATTAGTTGCAAATAAATACTATAATACATATTTAATATTATGTGAAAAGTGTTATAGTAATAGGTTATTAGAAGTTAATTCAACAGAATCACAAGAAAATACTGAAATATTAGGTAACATTGTTTATAGTATAGAAAACCCAAAAAATACTTTCTTAATTACCATAAATTGTGAAATAGAATTAGCAAAAGAACATAAGACACAAATAACAGTTATGATAGATACAGCTAGTAAAAAGAGTGTCATAAGAGAATAATTAGTACCAAAAAAATATAGACAAAAATTAGCAAAACCAGTGAGAATAACACAATTTGATGAGAGACCAGTTTACTTAACACATTGCATTAATAATGAGTCTATTAAAGTAGAAAAACAACAATTTAATTTACCATTAACATTTATTTCACTAGTAGAATCATATCCATTCATTTTAGGTTTGAATTTTTTGACAAGTTTACAAGGTTTTTTATTTATAAATCCTAGCATAACATTTTTCAAAAGAGATATTACAATAATTGACCAAAGTAATACTGTAGAAACATATAAAAGCATAAGTATAAAAGAATTTAGTAGTCAAGATGGTTATTATTTAGAAAACTCAAAAGAAGATGATGAGCATAATAATATAGAAGAGTTTGATGAATAAATATTTGAACATGAATATCCGATTTTAGAAGAAAAAGCCCGTATAGAAATATTACAGTTAGAT